CCAAGGTATCAAGTGCTTTTCTGCACTTCCTAAAAGTAGGAATATGGAGTGATTGTGGCATGCCATTCTCCAGTGGTTGTTTGTCAGGATAAATTTCAAAGCTCTTGCTCAAACTCTCAGCCATGGAACCCTGCCTTACTTCTGGTGCTTATATATAGCTTTATCTTCAAAAGCTATTCACAATTCTTAAAATGTGATGAGCTCCCCAGATTTCATACTTTCTCAAAGCCTATGTCTTCAAGTACTCTGTTCTCAAGGCTTCAAGAAAATCCACGAATTCCTCAACAAAACTTTTGTAAATAAGGAAAGGGAGAAGAGGGACTGAAGAGATGGTAGGAGACTGGGAAAAACAATGCTCAAGTTAAATCATTTGCAGTTACAGGTTCTCCATAATGAATGTGATCGTTGCATATACCTAAAATGTACCCATAAAGATAATTAATTTGAAAAAGAAGACTTAGCTCATGTATTCCATTCTTCAGGAAATCTTTCGTAGCTTCTGCATGAAATTCTCTGAACTCATCATCAAGTTACAATTACTGACTTTTTAAATCTTACTAGTCCACAAGCATGATAAAAATCAGGAATACTTTTCATCTTTGCAATACACCAACTAGAATGGCACTTAATGATTGATGACTGTTGAAGGACTGAATATATATCTAGAAGTTTGCCGTTTTAATTCCCCCTTCAAACATGATGGTAAAAAGTCAGTACCACTAGGGGGCACAGATTTATAATAGAATTTTCTAGTGCATTAACTCAGAGGGGATATTCTCCCACATCAGCTTACTCAGTTTCTAAATAAATGGATCTCAAAAAGATCCAGGAATTGTACTCTAATTTGTTACTGAAAAAAATGTTCAATTAGTTGGTTAAAAGATAGTCATTCTAACATGACCGAAAAAACAAACCAGGCAAAAACAAATACTAAATACAAGGTTTTGTCAATAAAAGATAGTGTTAGGGGAAGATCAAAATTTAACTACAAATACAACAAATGAATGCTCTAAGATTTGGGACTGCTTTAAAATTTCATTTTAAAAACAGTCTATTCAATAAAGACTCTTTAACTTTACAGGAAAAGTGAAGAAAAATGAAGCTATTTATGTGATGAAACCCACAAATCTTGGCTTGAAACAAAAGAAACTTTCCTACATTTTTCCTGTCAAGAGAAACTAATAAGATTATGAGTACAGCTGGGTATGATGGTACACACTTCTAGACCCAGCATTCAGGAAGTTGAGGGAGGAGGATGGGTTTGAATTTGAAGCCAACCTGGGCTGCATAATGAGTTTAAGGGCAGTCTGAAATACCCTGTCTCAAAAAACAACCAAGTAAGATTATGAATGCATAATAATGGCACAAGCTTATATTTTTTTGTTTCAAAAGTTTATGGAAGATTAGTAGTTAAACATCTGGCTTTTGTTTTTCTCCACTTTGCTTTCTCCTTTGTATTAAATACGTTTAAGTTTCCATGCCCAAGCTCCACTATTTACTACTTTAAAAAAGTTTTGAGTATCTTCACCTCAGTTTCTTAATCTCTGCATTGTTTGATTGTAGCCTATGCTTAGAAAAGCATTGTCAGAATCAAGTGAAATAATTATTTAAATAACAGTAGCTAGCACCTACTGAATACATACTAAACATTCGTATGTTAGTATTGCTTTGACAGTGATTAGCATAATATTTTGATAATTATTAGACAAATAATTTTTGATGGTAGCAGGAATGAAAATGTTGAGAATTTTTAAATTCTTTTACTTTTAGAGTGTTATTTTTGAGCTATCAATCTTTTCTTCTAGCCACATGCACTGACACCCACAGACTTCCTGTGTCCCTATGGTGAAGGCTGTGCCTGGGCCATCCATGGGTGACGGATTCTTACTGTGTCAGAACCTTCATGCAGTGCTTCATGCAGCACCTCAGAACACCCCTGATACTGACCTGGGTTCTCTGCTTTTGACTCATCCCAGAAATCTCAAGTATGTATCCTGTCTCTTAGAGATAAGAATGCTTGATGGACTAAAAGTGGCACAGTGGGATATTTGGCCAATATATTTAAAACAGTAAAAGGAGGTAAATATGTTTTCTGAGTCAATAGTTTATATAAGATACAGTACCTACAAAATGAAATGCAGTTCTTGAGCTTCTGGGGTCAGTTATGGCTTGGGACGGCTGAAGTAAAAGTGAAGAAGGGTGGTGTGGTTTAAAGGATTTTCTACTGAGGAGCTGGAAAACTTTACTATGACTTCCAGGCCTGCATGTCAAATTGCTGACCTTTGTGCATCTCTTTCTTTCCTTTTTTGCTCAGCAGTTTAAAGATTCTATTTATTGTTACTGCTCTGACTAGGCCAAGAATCCTACGGCAGCCCAAATGCATCTGTGTGGCAACCATACGTATTACTTGATGGGAAGGAATGTTGTAGTAGGTATTTTGGGAGAGCTAGGAAAATGCTTACATATGGATAAAAAAGAAAGAATACCAGAGTCACTGACAGTGAAATCATTGCAGATCTATTTACTCTGCCTCTTTTATGAACATTGAAAGTCTTTTTTTTTACATTACAATTTTTAAATTTTAAAATGAAAAAATAAAAACGATACAGAATTTCAAAACAAAACAATGATTAACCATGGTTAATATAGTGTGTACTGTTATCTTCAATGTAATTGTTCAGGTTACAAGATGTTGGCATAAAAAATGATCTATCAAATAATGAAAGCATTCTTTTTGATGAACTAACAGAGATTTGTAGTATAGCTACCTATCTTGCATTTCTAGCTCACATATAGAATCATCAGTATTACTTATTCAGAGTACCTTTCAGTGAAAAAATATAATGGAATAGAAAACACTGAAAAAAGTATTTGTATTCATTATGTTCTGTTGAAACCATTTTCACGTAGACTTCAGAGGAAAAGCTTCCAAGGCTATAAATATTACTCAGGCATCAATGTGTAAAAAAGGAAAAAGTGGGGAGCAGACCCATTTCAAAGGCTGGGGTGGGCCAGTCAACTCACATGGCCTACATTCACTGGCATTGATCACTTGCATTTGAAAAAGGTGACTGTTATTTAACTTTACCTCTGCCGCTCACTAATGTTCTTCTGTAATTGTGAAGCCTAGGATATACACTCTACTGCTTTACTTGTGGCTTACTATGCCTACTCTCTAGATTCTGATATTTCAGCAAAAAAGTATTAAAGGCAGTTTCCTAGCAACATCTGTATTCAGAAGAACAACAACAAAAGCTTCAAAACACATACATTATTTCCCCCAAAGTTAATGCCTACTTATCCAGAGATGATAGTGGGTAGCAAAGGAAGTATGGTACAAATAAAGAATTTCACCGGAGATATCGAAGCAGCCTCACTTGATCTTCCTTCTTCAGAAGGGAAGATCAGGGTGGTCAGGGATTGTAGTGTAGCTAAACCAGTGTTTCCCAAGGTGGCGCTCGGCACAGAAGAGCTTGCGTTTGGTTGCATGCTCCCTGGGAGATGCTGTCTGAGGGAGTACTGAACCGGGCTGCAAGGTTGCTGTGTCCCTACTAATGGGTGCACTAGCCACTGGTGGCTGCCTGGATTCATCCCATCTGTTCTCTGGACTGTGTCTAAATGTAGGGGAAAATCCAGAAGGTCCGCCCCAACTCTGTACCGCTATTCCATGGAACCTGATTGTTTTAACTTTCTTGGCATTTGCTCAGTCACCTCACAGTTCCTTTGAAAAGGATCCTTTGGAAATTAAGCAGCTGGTTTTACTCCAGAGAAGCACATCCCTGTGCCCTGCCTTCCTAAAATTTCCCGCCTGCACCCTGGTGCCGGGAGCTCCGGCAGGAAGTCAGATGGAAGGGACCTGACCTAGGTAGTCCACACCTACATGGGAAAATAACTCGTTTAAAAGGAAGTGGTTTGCGTCTTACTGCAGAAAAGCCAACATTTCGAGTTAAAGCATGTACGCTAGCTAGTCATCTCAACTCTCCGGATCATTCACCCTGAAAGTCCCTGCACAGAAACTCCGAGGAGGGTCTAAAGATAGCAACAGCAAACTCCCCCCGCCTTCAGCTGGGGTCCCAGAGCAGCCCTGGGATTGGAAAGCCTGTTCCAGGAGGCTCTTGGCTTCTGCCTGGAATAGCAGGGCACGGAGCAATCGAGCTCGCACCTCCACAGCACGTGGGTGTGAAGTATATTAGGGGAAGGCGAGAGCGACTTTGGTGGCGGTGCGCGGCTCAGTCACGTGGCGAGACTACCAGCTGCCCAGAGGCTTGGGTAGAATGCAAGGGCTGGAGCCTGCGAGAAGATTTAGCCCAAAAAACAGCAACACAGTAAAAATTAAAAGTCAAGCATTTCAATGAAGCTATTACTGCAGGCAGCAAGCAGTTGCCACAGACGTGGGTGTGTACCGGAGGGAGTTGTTAAGAGTATCTTGGTGGAGCCAAGGCAGTTGAAATAGGGACTTGGACAGCAAAGAGACATAGGGAATGACCACCTGGCGACTATCTGCTGGGGTTAGGTGGTGGGCGGGAATGTTTCATCTCACTGAATTTCTCTCTCTCTCCATCTTTCTTTTCTGTCTGTCTGTCTGTCTGTCTGTCTTTGTTTCTGAATTCTTTCAGTTTCCCCTCGCCGAAGTGATGTTTAGCTACTTGTATTTTACACTGACACTCAAAGCCCGACGTTCCAGCCCTGGCACGGTGACCTCCCAGTTCGCCTGGGGTGTGAGACAACCAACCAGTACTTCCCAGCAACACTTTTCTAACTGCACAAGTCACAGCACCCAAGGGTGCTGGGCGTCCTGGGCGCCTCACGCCCCTAACCCCCAACCCCGAGTTCCTCGCGCAGACCATGGGGCTGCCGCTGCCACTAGCCACACTTCGCAGTTTAATGACTTTCTTGAACTTAAATGGAAATTTCTGGGCGGAGAGAACAGGATTAATTCCCCCAGGCGTGGCTATTAAAGCCCCCGGGCTACTCTTCCGCTGCAGCCGAGCTACTTTAGAGCCTTTCCTTCACCCCGCCCCCTCTCCCCGGACCTGGGCTGGGGAGGATGTCCAGGCACTCTCAAGCTGGCTGCTCGTGCAACTAGAATGAAAAATCACAGCCTGCTGGCTGGGGTGAGGCGCGGGGAGCAGCCGGCGCCCGGCCCCCAGGACCTGGCAGCCACGTCCTCTGGGTGCGCCCCTTCGCTCCGCGGAGGACGCGCCCCCAGCCCGAACGCCCCGGGGGCCGGGTAGTACCTAGCGGCAGGACCAGCCGCTCTGGCTCCGACCGCAGGCGGGAGGATGGCGAGAGCCTGGGAGGAGGCGGCGCTCGGTCTGTGCGTCCAGGTCCCTTTCAGGGCACCGAGTGAATTTCACGTTCTGACCGCTCCGGCCCCCTGGGAGAACTAAACCCAGCCCCTGCCTCGGAGGCGCGCCCGGAGGCTGGTCCTTCGCGGGGAAAGAGACGACCTCAGCCGGGCGCTGGGAGCGGAGGGAAGAAGGAAGGGGGCGCCGGCGCTGGGTGCGCGCGTGGGAGCGCGCCCGGGACCCCCTCGCACACCGCTCAAGCCGGGGCGCCGCGCGGAGGAAGGAGTGGCCGCGGTGGGAATCGTAGGGCTCAAAGGCGACCTCCTAAAGTGGCGCTCTGGACAGGTCCAGATTTCGGATTCGGAGCCACCCACAGAGACTCAGGTCGTCTGGGCTCCTCCGCACCCCACCCCCAAGCCGGGGTTCGCGTCCCCCGCCAGCCCTGGGGGGGGGTTCGCGCGGGCGCCCCGTCGGGACCGGCTGCCCGGGGCGCCCATGAGCTCGCGGCCCTCGCCGCCAGCGGCCCCCTCGTGGCGCGCTTGGTGATGCCATGCCCCGCCACCTCGCGGGCGGAGAGGAGGGCGGCGCCGCGCGGCCCTGGGGGAACAGCGGCGCGGCGGCGGCGCGCGGGGGGCGCGCGGGCGGCGGCATGAAGGATGTAGAGTCGGGCCGAGGCAGGGTGCTGCTGAACGCGGCGGCCGCCCGGGGCGACGGCCTGCTGCTGCTGGGCACCCGCGCGGCCGCGCCGGGCCTGCGAGAGAGCCGGCGGGGCAAGCAGGGGGCCCGGATGAGCCTGCTGGGGAAGCCGCTGTCCTACTCCAGCGGCCAGAGCTGCCGGCGCAACGCCAAGTACCGGCGCGTGCAGAACTACCTGTACAATGTCCTGGAGCGGCCGCGCGGCTGGGCGTTTGTGTACCACGCGTTCGTGTAAGTACCGCGCCCACCTTCGCGCCCCCTCCGCGTCCGCGCCGGGACCCCGCGCCGGCCCAGGAAGCGCGCACACGCTCGCGCGCGCACACGTGGTGGTTTTATTTCCCCGCACGTGTTCGCGTCCTCCTGCCCGGAGCCTTCCACCTCCCCCTGCCCCACCTCTCCCGCTCGCCCCTTCTCCGCAGGGACACCCGCGAACTGGCCGGCGGTTCCGGGCACCCGGCGAGAGCCCAGCGGGAGCGGGACTTAAGCTTTGCTGTGGATAATAGAAAACACTTAGGTCTGGAGATGCATAAACTTCCACTGAGCGGGGCTGCGGGGAGTGCGCAGGGAAGAGGTTCGCAGCGTGAGACGGGAGGGTCGGTGAGGTGAGGGGTTGGCAGCTGGATGCGGAGGGACAGAGAGGGGAGCTCGTTCTCGCGACTGCCCTGGTCCGCGTCCGGCTCGGCGCAGCAGGAGGGGAAGCTGCTACTTGCTGCTTGCTGGGTTCCAGTGCGCCCGGAAACATGCCTCGCCGCAGCCACAGCCACCACCAACGGAAAATCTGTCAGTGCAAGGAGGTGGCCCTAGTCAGAAAGAGCGGACTGGCTGGCGGGGCTGTGTCCGGCGCTGCAGCGGGGCAGCAGGGAGCTTGGCCCAGGTGCGGTGGACAGAGGCGCGCTGGATCCCTCGCCGAGCAGCGTAGGGCAGCGGCTTAAATGGGCTTCTATGGCGCCCAGAGTGTGTGTGTTAAGCATGCCCTTGCCTTGTAGCAGAGAATGCTTAATGAGGAAATGATTGGAAGCAAATGTTTATTTTTCCTTTAGGCATTTAAAACCTTTCGGTGGCTTTAAAGTTTACTACTGGTTTTCCCATGGCATCCATTCATTCAGTCTCCTGTTGGAGTTAGGTTTATCTGGACATTTTATGGTTACTTTTAGTACTTTTAGGCCCTAATTTAATCTTCTTATTTTCCTCCAATTTTCTCTCCTTTTAGTTCTCCACCACTCCTTGCTTCTTTATGTTAAAATGAAATTTAAGATGTCATCCTTAGAAGACCCACAGAGAAAGTTACATTCAGTCACCAATATATTCTTTGTTTCCTAGTAAAATATGTTTTCTAGACATGAACTAGGTTTCTTTTAGAAATGAGGTGTTAGCATCCATATGTATCTCTTGTCTGGGATGAAAGATTTGACATTGGTATGGGAAATACAATTTGAGATAACATGGGAAATGAGATTAGTTTTGTAAATTGACAAACCTGGGATTCGACCACGTAGAAATAAGGAAGCTGGTGGAGTGTACAATCTGTGGAACCCGGGTGTCTGGAAAAGTTTACGGTCCCAAGTTGATGTGAACATGTAGCATCAGAATATTCTGGCCTACTTTGCATTTTGCAGCGTATACAAGGAGAATGTTGCACTGCGTGACCACTACATCAAAAGATTTAACTTAGTCACTGGTATTAAGATTGACATTACTTTAGATGTAGGTACTGTAATGACGGACATAGAGAAATAATACCAATACTCTTCATTTTCCTCTCTGCTGGATTGATAGATAATGAACCCTATTACTTAGTAATACTAATAAACTACTTTGACCTGTCACAATACACTAAAAATAATTAGCAACGATGACACTATATGCATTATAATGAAATAAGTACACTTTATTTGAATAATTATTTTTGTAAGAATAAACTCAGGGTTCATGGTTTTGAATTTTCAATAGAATTCCCTTCATAGCCTTTCATTTAATATTACATCTACACTGTCCATTCAGAGAGGATTGGCAATAACCTTGGTTGGTGCACACACTTCAGATCTCCTAAGTGTTTTCTTCACCATGAATGGGAATTTCTCAATTCCATGTTTTCTTTTTGCTGTCTTGATGTGTAGTAGGTTTCTATGGGCTTACTGTCTTTATGTTGTGATAAATGATTTTTTTAAAGGTTCGATTTTAGATATGTCTCACCAGGCTTTGTCGGGTTAGCAGTGTCATTAGTAGTAGCTTGAAAATAAATTCTATACTTGTCAATAAGATGCTGCTAATGTAGAGTCTTGCATTCTATACTTCTGGAGTCTGAGCAGAGAGGGGGTGCTAGACCACATTAACACGAAGAGAGAAGGGTTAGTGTGATGTTTGGGAGCATTGTACACAGTTAGAGCAGGTCGGGGTTGGGGAAGAGGCCATCATCTTTGGCAATTGCTGCTTATAATTTGAAATGGGTTTTTGAATAGCTGGACTTTACACATTAAATTAATAAGGCAAAGTTGCTGTGAACTGTAAGTCTAATGAGACCGTTAATAATACAGGAAATTATAAGAAAACAACTTCTAGAGAGGTGTAACTAACTAATTCCCTGCCAGCCTGGGAATCCCCAGATCTTACTTTAATAACAGTTTTTGCAGCATATTAAGGTTGCTGCCAAGAACAAGTGCACTGTGATTAATGAGGTACTTCAGGGATGCATTTATGTGGTAGACCAGTGTTTTACTGCCAAGAAACAAGAAAACTGTGTTTAAAGTTACACTGTAGGTAAAGAAAAATTTCTGTGTAATATGCAAACATCACTATTGTAATGACAATTTGATGATATGTACTGTGGTTTCAAGAGCACACATCCTAGCTTGCTGATAGGATGACTGACAAGGACAAAACATGAGCTGCTTCAAACAACTGTCTTGGAGTCTATCAAGTAGTGGAAATTTGAAAATCTGTACCTGTCCCTCTTTCAGATGTAGGGACAGCCCTGTGGCTGTCGGAGTAGTTCTTCAGTTTGCTAGATGAGCAGTGCAAATATGAGAAGCTTCTCTATTGGAATATTGCTTGTTCCTTTTTATTTTCCTCCTCCTTTAAGGACAGTTTTTGGAAGAGTATGCTGGGATTCCATTGATGCATGTATGGTGCTGAGAAATTACATGGGAAAAGGTGTTGCACATAAATGTAATTTGTCACTTTGTTCAATGTATTTTTGTCTGACTTGATACTATAAATGAGAATTTATAGATACTTTAAACTAGACTAAATTGTCCAGTCACTAAGGTAGGACTCCTGAAGCCCTCCTTTTTCTCTCACTTGCTCTTGCCACTCATCCAAAAGACGTTAAGTCCTGGTTGGACACTTTATATTCTCTTTTTTTTCCCCTCTTGACTACTTCTGTTGCCCCTTCTAGTTCTTCAATACCTCTCTCCGGTGTTTTGTAATGTTCTCTTGCCTGATTCTTTGGCTTTGGTTCATAGCTTTCTAACTTTCCTCTCTGACACCATACTTTTGTTCTTAAAATGCAAAATTTGTCATATCATCCCATTGCCTAAAATTTTTTGTCACTATCATTCACTTATTTGTTTACTCACCTGCTTATCCATATGTGCTAATTCACAGGTTATTAAGACAAAGGCCTCTGTTATAAAAGAGAGAAAAATATCAGGCATGTGGACCAGTGCAAAATGATGTCGTTGTTATTGCTATGGAGGAAGCAGTTCTATGGCTTCCTGGAAAAAGACAAAAACTTGGTGGAATTGGAAGCAGAAAGGCCAGCATTATCTTCATGTGAAAGTGAGGCATGAACTCATTTTGGACAAATATGTATCTAATTTTCAGATGGGCATTGCAAGGGAAAATGAGCAATCTTGGTAGAGAAAACAACCTGAGCAAATATAGGAATTTCTGAACCAATACAATAATTCTAGGTACCATTGAGTGTTTGCAGGATGAGGAGAGCTGCAGGAAAAGAAGATGAGGGCAAGCAAGTGCTTGGCCTTCGACAGCCCCGTAATGCTAGCCATGGAATCTGGTCTTTATTCTGTATGCTAGAAGTCCCCAGTCCTTCTGAAACCAGGGGCCAATTTTGTGAATGACAATTTTTACACGGATGCAAGGGAGGGGAAAGGGTTGGGATTTAAAAATTGCATTAGTGTGTTTTAGTATTGAATAATTACATACCCCCATGCTAGCATTACCTCCTCAGACCATTTGATGTTAGATTGCCATAAAGAATATACAACCTACATTCTGCATGTGTGCAGTTCATGTAGGGTTTGAGCTCTTGTGGGAATTTAAAGCCCTTCATCATCTGACAGGAGGGGGAGCTCAGGCCGTAATTTGAATGCTGTAGGTAGAGGGGAAGTTTTGCTGTTTCCCGTTCTGCTCACCTCCTGCTGCACAGCCTGGTTCCTAAAGGCCACAGACTGGTGCAGGTCCAAGGCCCTGGGTCTGGGATTCCTTGCTGTAGGCAGTGTTGGGTAATGAAAGGTGAAAACCAAAAACATGACATAATTACATGCATTTTGGACATATCTGCATTTTACTAGTTAGGAAAATGACCTGGAGCATACAGAATGGAGTCAGTGTGGTCTACTGACTCAAAATTTCCAGTCATTCATTCATTCTTTCTTTTATCCATGTATTCATTCTGCATTTGCTGACTCTCCAGAAAGGTAAGAGGTGATTGCCTAAGTATTTAAGCACCTGGCGAAATGAAGAGGAGGGCTTAATAAGAGAAATGATGAGGATACAGAATTGTCAGATTGTCTTCTGTAGTCTGGTGAGTGGGAGAAGGATAATTTTGACCTGGATAATTTGAGAAATGGAAGTGCCATGCACTAATATATGGAGCAAAGGGTGAATGGCATATATTTATGGTGTACAAAAAGTTAAAATTTGGGCCTGTTTCATTTTAGGTATTTTTGAGTCATTCCGATAGAGATTGTGATTGGTAGGAACATAGCTGTAAACCAGACACAATCTCTTTCCAATGGGTCTTGGGTTGGTATACAGAACTATTTCTATCATATATGAGGGCACACAATAAAATGTTGTTTGAGGGAATGACTACATTTACAGATGTGAAGATTAGTCTGAAAGTCTAGATCAGATGTTTATATTTGAAAATATCTATCAGTTTCATGGTGAGTAGAAAAGAGTCTACAGTCAGGATATGAAAGAGGACAGAGTCATGGGGACACCAAAAATTAAGCTTACAGACTACAGGAGAACCTGGAAAATCCATG